GCTTACCAACTACTCCAAATTTACTACGAAGACCCTATTCACGCACTTTACCATGGGGAAATAACATAAAGTATTCGAGAAATTCAAAAAATCAGGAAAAAAAATAGGATTTTATTTTGCAAAAATATGATAAACGGGATATTACAAAAATGTCAACGGCACCATTGGAAAGAGTGACCTTGAAAATTGCAGGAAAGATGTTTTGCCTATTTTTTGAACGAACATTTTCCCGTTACTTAGTTCGAAAAATGAAAATACGTCTATTGTTTTAACGAAAATTGATATTATTTTACATTTAACGCTGAAAAAAATGTGCAAAGGCCTGAATTGCGTGTTCTTAAATTTTTTTTCACTATTTAGGTTACTGCCAAAAAAAAAAAAAAAAAAATCATCCAAGAGTTGTAGCTTGAAATTAAAATTAAAATTTTGGCACTTTTGGGTACTCTGAAAAGTGAAAAATGAAAGGAGAATTCCTCATATACATTTGATTGGAAACGTATGGGGGAACATCACATACATTCCTTAGAGTCGAACACGTATGTATATTATACATGTGAAACGTGCAAATATAACTTTGACAGCTTTACAGAGCAGAAAATAATTCAAATTGTCAACCTCTCGTTAGGGCGAAAAATCATCAAATTGGGTCCATTTACCATCGCACAGACAAAAACTCCAAAATTGTTTGCCCCCGATTTCGAAGGGGAGTGGAGGACGAGCGCATCGCCCCGGCTCCTTCACCCGAGTCTAACGAATCTCGCCCACGCGACGACCTATCTTGACAAAGGATTTGCCTCCTGTGTTCCCCTTATTTTTTCCAAAACGGATGAACCGGCATGTATATACACACATACACGCGCCAACTTCCTCGAGAGGAGAGGAAAGTAAGACGAGAAAATCCAGCGAATCAAGCGGATTGATCGTTATATCTGATGTATCCACCCGTATACATAAACACGTTTGTGGAAAAAATCGAAGTGGGCGAGAGAGGGAGGCAAGGATGAGACGACACAATTTTACTTTCTGGAGCCCCGCCAAAACCGCATTCCTTTCCTCTCTTTGCTCTGCCAATCTATACCTCGCACGCGCGTGCGGACATAATATTATATACACACCCTGTACCGATTGATTCCAGAGAGAGACTCGCAGGAGATTCCAAGGGATGAAATGCCTCCTGCGTATGAATACAATGGGATGCGGACACGTTGGCAAAAGAGCCAATGAACGCGGATGCACGTGTTGCGCCAGTGTGGAAGAAAAACAGTATATTAAAGAGAGGCGGAGGAGGGGTGAAACAAAGGGGCAACCCATTTTTATTTGCCCTTTTTCTGCCTTTGGTCGCGCTATTCCCTCAAAGTTTTTGACGCATATACGCCGGAGGGCAAGACTAGAGGGACGGAATCGCGTGGAGCTCGCTCAATGGGCAGCGATGTTTTTTCGCTCGACTCCGTGAGCTGATGGTGTACAATGTGTTTTAGCCCATCGGTGTGCATGAGCTTCCTGTGCTTGGTCGAGAAGAGGCGCCACTTTGGCGATGATGGAGAAAAAAAAAAAAAAGTCAACAGCAGCAACATCAGCGAACAAAAAGAGCTCGAATACATAAAAACAAGCCAACTATACATACACCACACATTTAGTGTCTCTACGCGTACAGTGTGTATGGATACATATATACGAGTATATATGTGTTGTGCAGAGGGTAGCGATAAATTCAGTAGCGTCGCGACGCCTGGCGCCCCGAAAATCATCCAAAGCGAAGGCAAAACGAGGATCGGATATCCTTCCTCTTTTCCTTTCGCTTGAGGTCGTTCCGTAATTTATGTGTGTGTATTCATGTACGTATATGTATATAGCTTCGGAGCTTGGTGATGCGCGGTGCAACCGAAAAAGCTGTTTCTCGTTGTCGCCGAGCTTTTGCACCCCATAGTGCATACATGATCATCGGATGTAAGTTTTTCCTTTTACGGTAGTGATGAAAATTTTCACGCATCAGTACAGGTACAACATGCGGTAAAACGAGCTTTGTGTAAATGGAAATGAAAAGGAATTAATTCTCGGCACAGCTTAATTGAAGCTGCGTTGGACAAGATTCTCCAAAACGAAAAAGAAAAAACAGCCAATACAGAAGGCAATTACCTCCTTATCCCTCTTACTTATGCGCTAGATGCGCCAAATTTTTCAGCTTAACCTGTATACGTGTAAAATTCCCCGTTCGCATAATAAACAAAGAGCCTCTTGAAACATCTGTGGCTTTTTTTAGGGCATGGTTTTTTAGACAATTTCATACCCTTGAAGTGGAGAAAAGTGATGTGCTGTGTAAGCTTACAAGTTTACAAGAGGGATGGAGTGGCCGTTGCAGTGGCCGAAAAAAGGAACAATTCGAGAAACAAAACCAAAGAAACGCCCTTTTAACGTCGTAAGCTATTATCGATGCCCATGTGTATATATATTGGAAAGGAAAAAAAGTAGAGCATAATTTCCAGCGAATCGGGTGCGTACGTGTAATTGCCCTGAGCATACGTTGTTTAGCGCACCTTCTCGCTCAAGCCCACGAGCATTATATATTTATCGTACTACACGCACACGTGTGCATACATATAAGGGTACACACGAGCATCACTCCTATAATCGTTGAATCAGACTCCATTAATTCGAAGAACGAATCAGTTAGAAAAAGGAGGAAGAGAGGAGCGCGTTAGCTTCGCTGGTTTGCCGTATATGATTATACGAGTATATATAGGATCGCGAGGAATTCCGTTGTATATACGTATAAGGTAGACCGTGTACTTTTATTATCAAATATACGTACATTTGCACGTACGTTAAATTATTCTGCACAACCATGTAATGGTTAAATAAATAATTTTTTTTACCAAAACTAACATTACTTGGCAATTAATTTTTCAACATGGGAAATTCTATTCTTCATAAGCTTGCCCATTGGGATCAAAGAAGCGTGAAATTTTACAGTGAGACCAGGGTATACGGGTTTTCCGTAATGTTACTTACATAGGTACCCCGCTTCAACAGAGTTGAAAATGAAAAAAAGAAATAATTAATTTTTACAAGTAGCGATCTACAATATCAGCAGTGGTTGCAAAGTTAAGGATAAATTTCTTTCTTACCGACGGCTAGCATCTTTTATCTTCCGAAAGCAAAAGTTAACGCCCCGTTGACCAAAAAGCTGACACGCTTACCTGCCCGTTAAAGTCATTCGAAATTCAAAATTTCGCGGTTTATTAAGCTCGTAATCCACCGGCGAATCGCAGCTCGTCACAACAAGATTCTCGCATCTCATTGGCAGCAGCACGTGAGCACGTGCAGTCAGCTGACCCGATGGTCGCGCCATCACGCCATGTATATATAGGTATACAATATCCTGATGTCCTGCGACTCGGCTTTTCGGAGTCGAAGCAGAAAGAAAGCAAATAGTTTATGAAGTAGCGTTGTGGTGTACAGTGGATGTGAATAATTGTACGGATATAAAATATATAAGTATATTAACATCGCCAAGGAGGCAGGTCTCAGACAAGCAAATTTTAATAAGTGATATTTGGGTAGCTCCAGGAGTCGTTCAGTCTTTGCACGAGAAGAGAGTGCCGAGCTGGACTCGAGCAAACGCAGTCAGTGGGCCAACACGTAAGTGTAGTGAGTGCTTGTAACCATATTGACGCAAATTTTCTCACGGAATATAAGCAGTCGAGCAGTGAGCCGATATCGATCCGCTCAACTCTCTCGGGACAGAGGGTTTCCCCGTGTGTGTTAGGCACCTGCAACATGCAGCCTTACTTATATCGTGCGCACGCGTGAGTGTTGTTCATGATTCATGATTCACGACATCGTCTTCGTGTCTTCGTCGTCCAGAACTCCAAAAGTATTACCTATACTTTGCATGCTGCATACCTACATCGTGACGTTAAGGTATTTTAGGGCCCTACAGGTATAAACTATAAACAGTGCGCGTTGAATCATCTGGATCGGGGCTGTTTCTTGGTCGCTGCAAGCAGGAAGATCATTATAAAGAGCCGGTGCGTTCATGTGCGTGCTGCGTGCATTATTGTGTCTGTTTCTGTTTCTATTACTGTGAGAAAAGAAACATTTTTTTCTGATCACTGATCCAATCATCCAATCAGTCTTGTCTTGTGAGCGTTGAGATTCTTAGCAGACGGCTTGTTTCGTGCTCATGCACGTATATATTACATACATATTTATGCTGATTTTACACGTATACTTGTAATGATTCTTCGTCTACCTTATTTTACTTATCTATTATAAGTATAGTATAACATAATAACATTGCATTGCATACATGTATACGTACTTGAGAAGTAATATTATATTGTACTCGTTTGAGGCCTCTTCAGGGTGAAACTCCAACGTACTGTAGTGTCATAAGTTAGCAGTGACAGATGGATCATAGTTATTAATACATACGCACCTGACCTCACTTTTTCCATTTTTATGTTGAATATCGAATTTTTTAATTCTGTCATTGTATGATTGCTGGTTGAAAGTCATTAAGATCATGATACAAGTATACCCTACAGTTGTGCACTATATCGAATGAACATTTTTACAAGTACAAATGATTACAACTTTGATAAGGTAACTAAAGTTACAAACTCGATTGAGGGAGTACGAGTGTTGCTTCTTTGTTAAATTCTCCATGGCTCCAAAATGTTAGAAGGTAGACTGTATAGAGTATTTGCAAACGATCTCATTATGTTTTTCTGGAGTTCCTTACAATATTTGATTTGATGCACAGCTCATGTCTTTTAGTTGCAAAAATAAATTACTAATAATAAAAAAAGGACCCATGTCGTTAATTAATAGTAAGTAAACATTGAGAGCACTATTATTTATCGACATCATGACTATAGGTACAGCTTAGTACAGCTTAGTGTAAAAGCAGCATAACGACAAATAACAGCAGCAGCGCAACTCGCCAACACTTATATCGTGGGGAAGGGCTACGCCTATACTTACATCGTGTGTGTGCTCACGTGAGAGAGTGCCATCAGGAGCCAAGTCGAGGCTCTATCTCGCTCCGTTCGTTGTGTCCGTCTTTTTTTCTCGTTATCCATACGTTTTACAAACTCCAAAAGTGAACGCAATTAACAACTTCGCAGTTGAGGTTCGTGTGTGCTCTGATTTACAGAATTTCCCGTAGTGATAAAAAAGGTTCGTCGTGTGTACACCAATTCAAGCGTATAATTATGTTGTCATCGATCATTTGTATATACGTGTCCCAGGGTGGGTAGGGGTACATTATATGCTTTTTTTTTTCTCTTCTGCCGGGTCGAGAGTCAAGCGGACGTTCTTGTAAATTTGTCTTCTGCTGCAACAAGTGTTTTTATTTTTGTTTGTTTGTTTATTTTTTTTCGGAGTTTGGGTTCCACACGATACTTACTGGTAGTGTTTTTAAAATCATAAAATAGCAAGGAGCTCGGGAGTTTTGGCTCAGTGTCTCGTGAGCGAGATCGTATAGGTATCACGTGATTTTCAATTAAGCAGAGCAGCAGCAGCAGAGATCCCGAGGTGCTGCCGTCTTTGCTGCGCATCGTCGTCTACACTATTTGCTCTCTGTTTTACTTCTAAAAATATTTTAGCGCTTAACTGCAGCTACACGTATTTTATCTAACTTGTGCATGCAGGTTTTCTATATTTCTTCTTTTGCTTTGTGCTTCCTCCTTTTTCGAGAGAAAATATTAATTTTTTTCTTGGTGCAAACGAAATGTCATATTACAGTTGGAGGAATAAAAGTGGACGTTGACATGATGATAGAACTCCATTTCTGTTGCAGATATTGACTAAGGCAAAATGACGCTGCCAAAGATATCGAATGTTGAAAAGGAGACGAAGTTTGGCTTCGTCTATGCAGTCTCGGGACCTGGTGAGTCCACCTTGTATTCTGTTTCTCAAACTATCCCTTCCTTTTTTCCCATTTGACATCGTTGTTTTGTTGGCACTGACCGAAATTTAACGCTCGTTACAGTCGTTACAGCGGAGAAGATGTCCGGATCCGCTATGTACGAGCTGGTGCGCGTGGGTTACCACGAGCTCGTCGGCGAGATCATTCGTCTCGAGGGCGACATGGCAACAATTCAGGTACATAATCACAACGCATCTCTTACACACCTCCTCTACTTACAGCTATCACAATTTGACCAATAACGAAAATCCAAACACCACAGGTGTACGAAGAAACCAGCGGCGTTACCGTCGGCGATCCAGTGCTGAGGACGGGCAAGCCGTTGTCCGTCGAGCTGGGCCCTGGTATCTTGGGCAGCATCTTCGACGGTATCCAACGTCCACTCAAGGACATTAACGAGCTGACCAAATCGATCTACATACCTAAGGGCGTCAACGTGCCCTGTCTGTCGCGCACCGCTTCCTGGGAATTTAATCCCCAATTCATCAAGATCGGTAGTCACATTACTGGTGGCGACATATACGGCATCGTACACGAGAACACCCTCGTCAAGCACAAGATGATCTTGCCTCCCAAGAGCAAGGGCACCGTCACTTACATCGCTCCCCCCGGCAATTACAGCGTCACTGTAAGTTCGTCAGCTTTTCGTTTGGTTTCAGTTCGAGATTTTTTAATCTAATATGTTTATGTATACATATATGTACCTTTCGAATTATGTTGCAGGACGTCGTTTTGGAAACGGAGTTTGACGGCGAGAGGACAAAGTACACCATGCTTCAGGTAAATAAACTATCTTGGATTGTTTACTGAAATTACTTTTTAAATGCACGCACGTCATTGCATGTATTAATCGATGCTTTTTCGCAGGTTTGGCCGGTGCGTCAACCACGTCCGGTTACAGAAAAATTGCCAGCCAATCATCCTCTGCTCACTGGACAGCGAGTCCTGGATTCCCTGTTCCCGTGAGTGCATCCACATCATGGAAGGATGATGACGTTTCAGGTCCCTTAAAGCAAATTTTTCCCCGTTCCAGTTGCGTCCAGGGTGGTACGACTGCCATTCCCGGTGCCTTCGGTTGCGGCAAGACCGTCATCTCGCAAGCCCTGTCCAAGTACTCCAATTCCGACGTCATCATCTACGTAGGTTGTGGTGAACGTGGTAACGAGATGTCCGAAGTATTGCGGGACTTTCCCGAGCTCACCATTGAAACCGACGGTGGCACCGAATCCATCATGAAGCGTACTGCTCTAGTGGCCAATACCTCCAATATGCCCGTGGCTGCTCGTGAGGCTTCCATCTATACTGGTATCACTCTGTCAGAGTACTTCAGGGACATGGGCTACAACGTATCGATGATGGCTGACTCGACATCCCGATGGGCTGAGGCTCTTCGAGAAATCTCCGGTCGTCTCGCTGAGATGCCTGCCGATTCAGGCTACCCTGCTTACCTTGGTGCTCGTCTTGCCAGCTTCTATGAGAGAGCCGGAAGGTAAGAAATTTATTTACACTCACTTCTACGATGCGGAACATATCTTTAACTTCCTACAGAAATGTACGTGAAATGAGAAAAATTTTTATTTCAAATTCATACGTAATACATAAATAATTCAAAATACTCAAACAGCTTTTACCCTGGTGAAAATACAAGGCATGCCTGTAGGGTGTCATTTCTAAAAATAAATCAACTATCCATGTTTTAGAGTCAAGTGTCTCGGTAATCCGGATCGTGAAGGTTCGGTCAGTATTGTTGGTGCTGTATCACCTCCAGGTGGTGATTTCTCAGATCCAGTGACCAGTGCTACATTGGGTATCGTGCAGGTAATTATTGCAACGTATCAGATACTATCCGACGTGCTAGTTTTATTTCTAAATATTAAAATTCAACATTAGGTATTCTGGGGTCTTGACAAAAAACTTGCCCAGCGCAAGCATTTCCCGTCCATCAACTGGCTCATTTCCTACAGTAAATACCTGCGTGCTCTCGACGACTTCTACGACAAGAACTTCCAAGAGTTCGTACCTCTACGTACCAAAGTCAAGGAGATTCTTCAAGAGGAGGAAGATTTGTCGGAAATCGTGCAACTCGTCGGTAAGGCATCTCTTGCCGAGACCGATAAGATTACCCTTGAGGTTGCCAAGCTTCTCAAGGATGATTTCTTGCAGCAGAACAGGTATGCTACTGTAAATTTATGGTTTGGTAGCATCAGTATCAGGTTTTAATAATTTTTGAATTGTGTGGAACAGTTATTCGCCGTACGATCGTTTCTGTCCGTTCTACAAGACCGTTGGCATGTTGAAGAATATGATTGCATTCTACGACATGGCCAGGCACGCTGTTGAGTCGACGGCACAGTCTGATAATAAAATCACGTGGAACGTCATTCGGGACAGTATGGGAAATATCCTGTATCAGCTTAGTTCCATGAAGTTCAAGGTAACTTGACTGAAACAAAAATAATAATGATAACAATTTGATCCATGAACGTTAAAAGGCATTAGTTAGAAATTTTTCACATCGATTTCCAGGATCCCGTGAAAGATGGAGAGGCAAAGATCCGATCCGACTTCGACCAACTGCATGAAGACATTCAGCAGGCGTTTAGGAATTTAGAGGATTAAATTATCACGATACGCGTGAAATCATTGTTATGGTACTGCCTGGAATTCCAGTGTGTGTGTATGTATGAGCAACAAAAAACAAAAACAAAAAGTGAGTACTATTCACGGAAACTATTCCAGTTGCAGTCGTTTGGGGTTGTTCCAATCGTAACGAAAAGGAAAAAAAAGGCTATTACGTCATCGTACCATTGAAAAAAAAGAAAAAAAGAAAAAAAAAAGTAATAATTATAATGCTTAAGAAAGTAAAATATTAATAAGAAAGCAGTCGCGTTTGCTCGCGTATGGCTTATTACGTTTTTATTAGGCCAACGTAGTGTTTATTCATTGAGTATACTGTTTTATGAGTTTTAAAATGCATATAAAATACACACACGCTTCGTGCGTGGAGAGTGCTATCAAAACATTCCATAGCATATCCGAACACCACGCGAGAGAGAATCCTAGTTTAGAAAAATTCATTGAATGCTATTCAATAATCTATTGTACATTAATTGTAAACTGATAATGAATTTGCTAGTTTTATTTTTATTTTTATTTATTTTATTTTTTTTTTAAATGCAATTTTAATCGGGACTATTTCATGTTTGTGGTATAATTGGTGAATTGTCTATTTTAATCGATCATGCGCGGTGATTCAATAATTGTATTTTAAAGAAAACACTCATTTTTAAAATAGTAAGTTCCTAATTTTTAAACCGAAAGGAATAGAAAAGTAGACGAATTTGTGTATTGAAGATGGTGGTCTATCCTGTATATTTATTCTGTGTAACATAAGAATTTTTATTGAAATCTAAACAATTGTTATTTGAACTGCAAAAATTGCAGCTCTTGATGAACAAAATGTTTTAAATCTATAGAATTACTTTTGTTTTCAATTGACTTTTCTAATCTGGATCACGTTTTCCCAATCAACAGTTAAATGTATCTATTTAATGCAAACATCAGTTTCATTTTTTTAACTATGATGCACATTTCATATACCATTTATTTTGTCATACGGGATGCACGTTTGTATCTACCCAAAATATTTATTGAATTTAAATATTTTTTTAATAACTCAGTATTTTAACTAACAATTAATTGAAAACACAAAAAAAAACTGTTGAAAAAGAAGCTGATTGGAATGGACTATAGAACGCTTTACTACTATTGTTTAAAAAAAAAAATTGTTGCTAGTACAACTGCAGTGAATTGAAAGTCATATTAGCCATCTCCTAATTTCTGACAGTTTTCTATTTTAACTTTGTACAATATACTTCAAAATTACGGGATACTTGCAATTTAGTTGTGCGCAATAAATTCGAGGTGTGTAAATGAGCACTTTTGTCGGTGTGCGCAACAACTTTTATAAAATGAAATAAATTGGATGAAAACGAGACCAATACTTGATGAATTAATCAATCTCGCCGCTTTTTAGTCGAGTCTGTAAATTGAATTGTACTTTTCATCCCCCCAAACCTACATCCTTACGTACATAATAAACTATAATGTGGTGCTCACTATATATAATTATTGTTTAGTAACCTGGGAAATAGTCGTCCATGTAATTAACGTTTTTCTTCTCATTATATATTCGAACATAAAAGTAATTTATTAGACAGAATGAATGTGATATGAATTGTCATGATGTCGGTCTAATTTTTTACTATCCTAGTACGACTGTATGTGTAGACAAAGGAGTTATTGATGCTATTTTTTTGTTTGTTTTTGATCTGATAAATTTTCTTTTTTCGATTAAAAAACTATACTCAGATTTGCGATGAAAGGCGCTACTAAATTACTTGGAGGGAATGTAATTTTAACTCATAAAAAAAAAATTTAATTGAGAAACGTTCAAGTCTAGCTGTCACCGTACACCCCATTTAAGACAATAAAAGAAGTAAGAAAATTGAGTAAAGCAAATGGGACGACCCTAAACGTCAGTTATTGAAAATATTAACGAAAAAGATAAAAAAATTTTAAAACGTACGAAAAAAAAAAAAAAAAATACAAAAAAATATATTATTGTGTTTTAAATAATTGTAAAGTGTAATATTCCTATGTTTTAACGACGATCGTTGTATCAACTGAAGCATGCGATCTCGGTAGCAATGATTACATTTATCTCTCGTAGATCAAAAATCTTTTTTTCTGTACTATCAAATAATATACGTCTATCTCTTACTTTTACTTTATAAGTACACGATTTACGATTTCTTGCTGTCTCTTCAAATTATGATAATCGCTACAATAAGTTATAATTCATGAGAAAAACATTCAAGGCTAGAGATTCTCCATATTCAGTCAAAATTTTGCTTTTAAGGGCCGTTAATTATATCTGCATCCATTTAAGTGTGTGCATGTTTCAATTAAAGATTTTCCAAAACTGTATGCTAATTCTTAACGTAAGAATATTCTTAGTTATGAATCATAAAACTAGCAAGTTCTCTGTAATTTAGGGGATTCTTTTGTGCATTTCGTTTGGCAGGCCCATGATAATATATCGACGTTGTCACTCCTCTTAAAACAGAATCATCTTTGATTGTATGCTATTTTGATTTTGCCATTAATATAAAATGCACAAACTGCGCAGACAAACAAGCTATAAAAGAAAAAAGTCAAGCAACGATTACGATTCCAACTGAAATTATATATAAATTTATTAATAAATGTACTATATGCCGAGATAAAAAAAAAGAACAAAATTGGCATCGTTTGGTGGGATTGAAAAAGCTTTACTGTTCGTCTGTAATGATACCACATATATGTATAAAAAAAAAAAAGATAAAGTTTAAACATATGGCCTTGACGTGACAAGCTTTTTCAACCCATTTCTTATGTGCGAAACGATCATGTTCGAAATGAGAGCTATGAGAAATCTGTATTTGAATTGTGGAGTATTATCTATTGTATCATATATATTATGTTATTATATATCAACGTAACAGAAAGTATACATAGGCGTTAAATAATGTTATGCAATGTTAATATAGACGAGTTTTAAGATGATAGGATCAAAACAAAAAAATATAAGTGAAAGAACATCATATTTCAAACACCAATGAATCATTGAATCTTAACTTTAAACAACCCATGTCCAAAAAATTAAAAAGACCGTTGTAGGTATTTTTTCAGTGCATATGTACGTATGTGTATGTATGCACAGCTTTTTAGTTTTTATCTTAAAACATCATAAGTACATACAATAGTTATGTTGAAACTTAAACTTGAGCTAAAACTTAAATTAAAATGCTGTCTAAAAATTCATCTTGTATTCAATATGTAACATTTGAGTAATCCCATCCGTCACCTTACCACTTTATTTCCTCTTAAGTGGCACGCAATGCCTTTGCTTTTGATAAATTTCTAATTAAAATCTGTTAAAAGTTTTCAAACTATTATTATTATTTAACTCATATTATAATTCTGTTACTTCAGCCAATGTGTTAATATTTAATACCTTTAATTGTTTATTTTTAAATGGTTTTGCACAGCAAAGCTTTTTTTAGATAAAATATTTTAGTGATATCATTATTTTGTAAAGCATTGAAACCTGTGCTCTTTCTTCCTACAGAGCGTATGGAAAGGATGTTGTTTGTGTTCCCACTGTAAATGAAGCCTTACACCTTTTTTTTTTTATTTTTACAAACTTGAATACAATGAAAACATTATTCTTCACTTCAAACTTTTATTATCACCCAACACTGAGTTGGGAGTTTTCGAAATATATCAATTAGCATCATTATTTGATCGATGTAAAAGATAGATATCGTTTTAAAACATGTTATATTAAATACATATTTTTTAGTTAGTAAATCAAAAAATTTTAAGTACACATGGGGCTTATCTATGTAATTGGAAATTTCCACTTTACCGACTACTCAGCTCATATGAACAAAGTTGAAAACCTTTAAGCATTGCCGCATTGATCATGTAAACAATAATGATCATGATTCGTTGACAACTGAAGCAATCTATTCATATAATTGCCCTTGAGCTATTCTGTAACCTCAAAGATTAATTTTTTTGTCAGTTCTTAACTATCAAGAAGTTTTTGCTTCATCGATTCCTTAGGGAATTTTTTCATATTTCGTATAAGAAACCACATAATATTAATATTGAATTTAACTAAAATGGAAAAAATGTACATCAATGCATTTCTCAATAACTCCACTTTTTATATTGGTGTGATTGTTCAAATTTAAAATGAAAAAGTCATTTGTTTTTGAAATGGTTTTATTTATATAACAATAACTCCACCGCCATATTTACACTAACAATATATTACACTGTCAAATGTATTTTTAATGTGGCTACATAATAGTATCTTGTTTGACAACAAGTTCATAAAAAGTCAAAGATGTTTTAGATTCATGATATGAAATGTGCAATTTTTTACCTCACTTTATGTAAGATTTTTTTCTGTGTCACTGAATAATCGAGACAAAAATATATTTGTATTAATAATTGGACACAGCTACACTTTACTAGTAACAAACACGATTTTTCATCATTCAACAGTCCATAGCTAAATTTTGGAATTTCTAGTACACACATATGTACATGGACATACTCCCTCTAACAAACCAACTATTTTTTTTTTTAGTTGACATGTTTTCAATAATGCAATACATCTCTAGCTATAAAATAACAGTATTAAAAATTAAAAAAAATATTTAACAGATTTTCTCGTACTTAAAAATCGACACTTTTTTCATTGCCTTTTTACGCTTCTCTTATGGCAATATTATAAAGCATTAAACGATACCTTGAGTTCAGAATAAGCTTGCAGAAACATTTGTAGACCATTGATCAGAGTTTTGCTGAATGCACAGCTGACTTATGTTACAATCTTACTTTGCCTTAGAACATTGAATATCACAAAAAAAGTCTTAAAAATAACTTGATAAAAACATATGTACATAAAAAAATATAAACAATTTTATACTAATTATTTACAAAAACATACGTTAAATTACCATTAAAAATAATAATGAAAATTTTATTACAAATTCTCAATGTTATAAGGCAACTCCCGTTCTTATCTAAAAATAGAGCTTCTTTAAAATGCTATGCACAGTCATAAAATCGGTTGAATTGTTCATTTAGAAGTTTTTCAAACAAGTCATTTTTTTTAAAAATAAAATTAATTTAAAAAGAAGATCAATTATGTACATAAAAAGAAGAAATTCAATACTAGTTGGATAGATTAAGGAAGTATGTGTACGTCTGCATTGACTTCCCGAGCTGTTGGCAATTGCGATTTGAGATGGGCATTTTCTCGCTTGAGCTGAGTAATTACCTGTTTTAGGGTCTCGTTTTCTTCAAGGAGCTTCTCGTTTTCACGCACGCATGAACTCATAGATTGATTAGCAGTTCTCAGCTCTGTTATGTACTCACATGCTTTGGCTAAAATCCCACCTTTACTCTGCAAAAAATAAGAACCAATAATCACTCAATTAAACTTGTCATCATATACTATTCTATGAATGGAAATGATTACAAAAAGTACGCATACCTGTGTTTCGTAATTGGATTTACTACTCCCTTCTCCACTGCTGCCGTTCGTTGGTAAACTGCAGTCGGGAATAATTTTACCAAGCTTTGCTATCCAGTTATTGATTTTATCACGACGTCGACGTTCAACCTCGTTATGAGTAGCTCTCCGCCTGTCATCCCTCTGCAAATTAATTAATAAATAACTACTTTCTACAAAAATCAATAAACAGGTCATTGCCTAACCACCTGATAATCGTACCTTTTTCAAACCAGTCGTATTTGTGCGAGGTGTCGTTTCTATCTGTAGAGTAGCCGTTGTTTTGGGTGTAATAATAGATCCTGATGTTTGGGCAGTTGTGAAGACATCGTTCGCACTTCCAATGACGTAAAATTGACCATTTATTGGTGAAGTCAATACTTGCAGTGGAGCTTGGCTTGTAGGTAGTTCGAGTTCACTATTAGGTGCACCATTTACATGAACAACTCTGTAGGCAAGAGTTTCCGTGGGATACCGCAGCCCATCTTCTGTCACTTGCTCACCATCTTACAAAAAATTAACAATTGATATTTGATATTATTCAATTTTTTGCTCAGACTAGTGATACTAGGCATTATAGATTATTGCTTTATTTCTACACACTCTTGACATATCACTGAATTAAACTTTAATTTAGTGCTAAAAACTATGACCACCTCGAAATTTGCAATAAAAAAAGAATAAACAGCATTTAAAAATAAACTCACTGTCACAGTCGGCGATCTCCGTGTCCTCAATGGCAATTCCCTGGGTATTCTCTTCCTTAGGACTTGTGGGACTGGACATAAAAAACAACACAACAATGCTCGTCACTTGTTCTGTTATCAACACAGTGTAATTACACCCTACTAAGTGCTAATTATAGGATTGTAAACAAACAAACGAGGGTCGCGTAAGTCGCGTTTATCAGAGAAACGTATATCGCTCTTTCTCAAGTACAAGTCATCTTCAATTGAATTGCGCATTATCATAACACCAAAAGACCGCGAAAAAGATATACGGAGCGTGAATGGAGACGATGAGGGTATAGTGTGCGAGAGGAGCAAATACACGTCACAAAAAAAGTGTGGCAAGTAAGTAGGTATACTCAAGCCGCTGCTTAAGCGTGTGCACTGCATGTCTGGTATGTACATACAGAACAATAACAGATGTAAAAAAAAGAGCTAAATATTATAGGCGCGATTGATGCAATGCAAAGTGACCTTTGTCTGGTCAAGTATATGTAGATGAGTATACGCACGAGATCGCCTAACCCAAGAGTTAAGCCGTTCCCTTCGTCTTCTGGTCTAGTTTACCTGACGTCCTGTTGATCAAGATGCTGCTCCAGGATGTCCATGATGGGATGGACCAGCGGAGAGCTGGTGTTACTTTCGTCGTCTTGGGTTTGAATTTTCGTCGAAATTCACGTGAGCTGGTCACGGGACACGCTAACGAGGTCATGTGATATTCGACGTCCAAGATGGCGCGGGTATGCTTATTATGATTGTTTTTGCAGGTTTCAGCATTCAGCATTTGGAATTTTTTTACGTCGGCGCGCGCTGTCAGATCACGATCATCGATCTTCTAAAATAGGTAATACCTACATAAGGTATTTTATGTCTTTAATTCTTATACCCGAGTGTTTCTGCTTTGCCAACAATCAGTTATCGTTATATTCGTTTAACATTCATATGCACCGAATAGAAAGGTCCAAAAAAATTTAGTAATATATAAATAAATTTAAATAATTTTTATATATATATGCGTATAATTATTATTGACTTGCTTCTGTAGATTCCTACCTTACTAATTGAAAACATGTGACCTCGCTATTATAGCCGCCTGAGCACACATATCCTCTGCAGATTCTGTCCTGAAAACCCTGACAGGACCGTATACGTCTCATCTCTTGGTCCGGATAGGGGGACGTAACAATACCCTACACCATGTAACCTACGTGCCCCATACAATACTGCGAGACGGCAGTTTCATTTTATTCTATTTTCTACTTAGAAATACACGATATAGCCCACAAATTAATAAATTATACAGATAAATTTAATTTCTACCAAGTTTGTTTGTGGTTATTTCATGAATTTCATTCCTGTTTAAAATTACCCCGCTCTGTCCTTCCCATCTACAAACGACAAACGACCTTGGCGGCGGTTCAGGCGGCTGGGCCATCAGGCCATGGTACGGTGGTGGCAGGTGGCAGCACATATGCAGACACATATAGATATATACGACTATACGATGCTTTAGCTTGAGCACTTGATGGGACAGTGGGACTTGTAAGCTTGGGACGAGTTGTAAAGCTTGTAAGTATTGGACGCTGCTGCCAATCAATCGTCGTTTCCTTCCTTTCATATTTTCATTATTAAGTCATCGTCAATAATTATCGTGTTATCATAAATAAATGCTACTGCAGAGTGTTCACGTATACTCAACTACATTTGTGTATCGCGAATAAAGTACTTGCGTCAGCCTTTCTAAATTCTAATATTATATCGTTCGACTCACCACTGACCACACCATTCCCCAACCATATATCAAAATTTATATGGAGTGTAACTGTTGTAACTATCATAAAATTTATAAATTATCGGGCTGAACTAAGTTTGTGTGTGCGCCTGTGTTTTTTTTTATCTGGCATTGATTCGATTGGGAGTCTGTGCTCCGAGTGAATATAATAACATTGATTGGACACCATAAAAGCAGTGTGGGTACGGACGTGAGGTTGTTTTTTTCTTGAAGAGCAACAGAAGCATCATCGCTGCACTTCGTCTGGATCAGGTTATTTTTACATGAACGTCATTATATGAGTTTTCTCTTTTTTTCTTTAATGTAGAAAAAACTTTTTCAAGTGATTTTTGTGAGATCAGTTTTAGGATTGATAGGTACGTGGTGAAAGTGAGAAGGAAATGAATCCATGTAAACAAGTTCTTTATCTTTTTAAATTTATAAGTATGTGTTTATTAAACATTTCATTTAAACGTAATTTGTTAATCCGATGTGTATTACAAGTTTTTTACTTCTACACAATTAAAATCTGTGAATCGTAGAACCAAGAAATGTCAATGTAATAAGACATTGACTCATTTATTAGTAGTGCACAAGAACAGTTTTCCATTAGGAAGCAATCTATTGATGGATTTCATTATTTGTCATTTATACCAGTAATGGAGCAGTAATAATTATACTTTTTGTTATGCTCTTCAGATTTTTCTAATTTTCACATTTATAATGTAACTTTATTTTCTTATTGAAATTTTAAAAGTCAGTACTTATGAACCAAGTAATTTTCTAAACAAATAATGCCGTGTGACATTTCATTGGTGTCAAAATCCATGCAAAATCTTTGCTTTAATACTTACTACCAGTTATTTTTTTCCATATGAATTTTTGGATGATGTTTATTTTAAATGCTACAGTAATTTAAGTTATCACAGTATCAGTGCACATGTTGATTTCAGATTTATCAAATAAGGTATAATTCAAAATCTTAATAAAGCCTATTCATTATCATTTCGAAATTCATTTGTCTAATTTAAAAAGTTGATTGTCCCTGTTCTTTAGTGACGTTAGTCTAATTAATTAATGGTAGTTTTCACAAGTAATAAATTATAATTAAAAACAGTAGATTAATTTAAATTAATTTTTTCTACCTACCTCTGGCGTTTTTGAGGGTCGGGTGTGCCCTCGGTAGGAAGAATAGGGTTCGCACCTGGTGTGCATTCAACCAGGTTAAGCACAAGGTGTCCCGGTGCTTGTCCTGGCAACATGTGCCACCAGGTACAAAAACTACCATCATAACAGAGAATAGGATGAACACTGATTCATCAGTACAATAGCTACTGTACAATGCAATATTTATTCTCGTTTTTGTGTCTACATGTAGACAATTGTTTATGTATTTTTAAGTTATTTTTATTCATCTGATATGATATTATTTTGTTGAACAGTACAATATATATTATCTCACCTATTTTTCCGTAGCTCTAATGGTTCAATTAAAATATAAAAAAAAAATAATAATAAACCAACGAAATTTTCACACAATCATTCACACAAAATTATTTTCAATTTCAGCCCAGTAAATACTTTTCAACCACACAAGCATTTAAAATTTGGTGGAAGATGCGATGCCTCAACTGAGTAGTGTTGCCTCATGGCTAAACTGCAATATACCTCCATGCCCCGAGAATTATCAACCGAAACAATTTCTACTATACGATTTCCAGAGGTATTAATCTATATTATCAATCATTTGATAGCTCTGAATTCATGTATCAATCATGAATCCTTTTATTTTTTTTTTTTTAAATTCTAGTACGGACAAAATGACTGCTCTGACAAGTCTTTCAGTCCAGACTCGAATTCCTTCAGTGGATTGTTGTTGCCAGACAAGGGAGGCGATAAGAACCTTAAAGAACGCAAAGAGCACAGGGATAAAAATAAGACGTACAGAAAGTATTCTGAATTAACACCACCCAGCATATCCAGTGGTTATGACAATGGGTGTGTATATGTTTCATCTCTTTTAAACCCATACAAATTGTAAATTTTGAGTAATATTAATTTTCTCATGGGTAGATCCATGGTGTGCAAATCAAACTCCCTACCTGGTCGTTGTAATGTCAATTCTCCAGTGCCAAACACGATGGTGGCAACGGAAATCTCGGCTGAAGACTTGGCGTCTCAGCTCACGTTGTTGGACGTCAGTGTATTCGAATGCATACAACCAGAAGAGCTATCCAGTTGTTCGTGGAACAAGAAAAACAAATTATCGATCGCGCCAAACGTCGTCAGTTTTACGAGAAGATTTAACCATGTTAGTACCAGATACATTTGTTCATTTTTGTTGTAGAACATTTATATGCTTGATGGGTTCTTTAATTTTAGGTAAGCTTTTGGACTGTTCAAGAAATTCTAAATGCGCCAACGATGAAGCAGCGTTCCGAGATTTTGGCACATTTTGTACGAGTAGCAAAGAAGCTGTACGACTTGAATAATTTACACTCGTTGTTCGCTATTATATCCGCTCTGCATAGTGCATCCGTTTACAGGTGTGTGCAATTTTTTTTGTATCGACCATCGTAAATTAAAACAACAAACTGATATAAATATTTTATCTCAGATTAAACAAAACTTGGGCCTGTTTATCAAAGAAAGACAAGAGCACTTTTGATAAACTTGCTGACGTATTCAACGATAAAAATAATTGGATGAACCTTCGGGAGCACATGGATAACATCAAATTGCCGTGCATACCATATTTAGGATTATTTTTGACTGACCTTGTTTACATTGATATGGCACATCCGATAACTAGAGTGAGCAAAATGAAAACAGCATCGATTAGGAGCTTAAAATTACATCAATTTCATTGAATTCTTTCGTTTTCCAGAGTGGCGACAATCGTCAACGAATCTTGAAAATGGATGCCATCTTGACTAAAGTAAAGATGTTTCAAGCTAGTGAGTACACCGGTATAGTTCCGCTACGCAACGTCCAAAGATACTTAAACAGCGTCCGTTATATCGAGGAATTGCAGAAATTCCTCGAAGACGATCATTTCAAGTAAGTTATTTTCCCAATCGCTCACTTTTCCAAGACTGCTGGTTACAAGCATCCATCAAACCGTTTCGATTCTCTTTTCAGACTGTCCATGAAACTCGAGCCAAATTCTCCGATTCCTTCGTCAAGCAGTAGCAAAGAGTCGGTAGGCGATGTAGTAACCGGAGTAGCAGCTCTATCATTATCGCCCGCGCGAGGCTGCGCGGGTTCCTTACGTTTGCACGCTGCGTCTGCGGCTACGAAATTCGTTCCCGGCCATCGCAAGTGTCGTAGTCTCGGTACAAAGTAAGTTGATTCTTGTAAGTTCTGCGAGGCCAAAGGCTTCAGAGTGTCGTTTTATTTGCACTGTTTTTAAAACTAATGAAAATCTGGTGGTGGTATATATTTTGCTCATTAATATACTTGAGTTTTTGAGTGCCGAGTGTCAAGCTTCTAAACATCCAATCATTAATTTCTATTTGAGATTCGTTATTGATTCAATGTTGAGAACGCAATATCATTTGAAAATTAATGTGCTTGACCAGATTTTGATCACTTACTACAAGTGTAAGTTATCTAGTCGTCAAGGAATTGAACGACTTAACTGTGTAATTCGACTTTTGCGTAATGTTTTATGCACACAGCGTATTTGGCATTTTATCAATTGTAATTTTGCATAAGCTATTCGCTCTCATAATGAACGCAGATTATTTGATTAGATATTTTCAAATCATTCGAGCGTCACAAAAGTCCTAGGGCTAAATGTGATATTTACATAAGGTCAATGATTATCAAATAGCAAATGACGAATGTTGTGTGCACTTGTTAGATTCCGTAGTACGAGTCTTCCACGCAACTTCCATAAGCAAGGAGGCAAATACGGACCTAGCTTGACGACTCCTGGGTGAGTCCCAAGAGTTTTCGCGTCTAGGGTTATGCGGCATCCCATCAATATTTTATACATGCATATCAAACCATTAGGCATTATTTTAATGCTTACATAGTTTATTTTTTGTTTCATAGTTGCTGCAATGAACCGTTAGTGAAGATATGTCCTTCTGTCCACGTTATTGTTTTTAACAGCCTATGCATGCATTTCACCGTTCCCCCAATTCCTTTTTTTTTTTTTCCACAATTTTTTGATGTTACATTAAAGTATTTGTGTACTTACATGCATCCCCAAAGAAATTGAGATTTGTACATATCATCTTTTTACAAAGCATGCTTGTAAGACAAATCATCGAGTAATTTGATCTCACTACAGGCATGAATGAAAATTCCTAGGAATAAAAAACCTCTGAATATTAGACTTTGTGTTTGCATTACAAAAAAAAAAAAAAAAAAAAATATAGGTCATTTACAGCCAAGTTCATTCAACCCGTAAATTAATTATTGTTTCGTCGACTGTCCATTACGTAGTAAAAATTTTATTTAGTTAGTGTATGCATCCCTAATGCATCAAAATTTGGCTCTAAAGTACATACATGTATATATTATAAAGAGAAAGCATTCACCGGATGAGAGACAGCACACTCTTACTGCATGAAGAAGTCCAGATGACAAAAAAAAAAAAAAAAAAAAAATAAAACTAACAAGCTTGCGATCGTCTTTGCAGCATATTCGGCAAAACCTCGGTGCCCCTGGACGCTAACCATGGGACCATCCGACACCTCCTCGACGACTCTGTGTTGGAAGAGCCGCACCTGGCCCTTCAGATCCTCGACCTCGACCAAAATTCGCCTGGCTCGCCTGCCGACGCCGTTAACGAGGATTGCAGTTTGCTATCGAAAAAAAGGTGAGTTCGAGGTAATCGCAAAACGAGAGAGGCCAGAGAGAGGAGATTTAATTTTGGATCTTTTTCTGCAGCACTTCGGCCTTGCCTGACTTGGATGGGTCGATAGAGCCGAGGTGCATCATACAGGGAGCCCTGAGACGAAAGGTTGTGCTAAGGGATGGACGCAAGCCCGCGGTCTCGACTTGGCAGAGGTACTGGGTCCAGCTCTGGGCGTCTTCGATCTTTTACTTCTCCCCAAAATGCTTCAAAGGAAACGAAAGGGGAGACTACAAGCGAGAGCCCTATAAGATGATCTCGATACTCGGGTGGATCGTCGAGACGCTGGACCATTATCATGCTGATTCTTTCTTGCTGGCGGATCCAAAGAAAGGTTCTTAAGCTTTGTTAGAGATTTTTTTTGGTTTTAGTTTGAAATTATGATAAACGGTAAATAAAAGTTACTCGTGGATAATTATAAAATTGGTTGTTTTGGATTGCAAATAATTAATTGAGGCAATAGTCTACCATTGCTTGATTGAATCTTCCATTACCACAGCGGTAAATGATGATGACATTTAAAAAATTTTAATAAGGTATGGTTGTGAAATGATTTTCCCGCTTGCAGATGAATTTAGATATCACAAGTTCTAAATTCACACAAAAACTTCTAATAAAAAAATGTCAACTATATTATTAGTTAAAAATGTACATATGCTAACTGGGTTCAATTCTAATTTCATTTCATGTAATCGTTTTTTTGGTTTGTTTTTTTTCCAGGTAACGTATACAAATTTCGAGCAACGTCCAAAGAAATGGCCGAGCAATGGTTAAAGGAGCTGCGATTGACAGTGCGAGGCGCAACCGAGCGCAAACCCATACCGGCGAATCTTATGTCGTTCGAATGAGATCAGCCCCCAAGGCGCTCTAGGTATGCGCTGCCCTTTTTCCGATCTAGATAAATAATACAAATTCTAATCAGCATATCATGAAACGGTGAATAAATATAATCATCCAGCATTCGAGTGGATTTGCAGAAAGCAATGAAAAGGCATATCTCAATAAGTTGGCTTCGTTAACAAATTACACATACGTCCTGTGTGGGAGCTTTCGTACTCTGAAACATGTGTTATACGAAGGCAATAATTTTTTTTACTCATACTCATAGTCAAAATCGCTCTCTAATATTTATATACATGATGTGAACAAAAAAAAATAGTCATACACTTAATGCTCGCCTAAAATTCTTTCGTCCTAAAATCTTTTCAAATACATTTGCCACGCATATATAGAATAAAATAACGTGAAAAGGAAGCATGCGCGTGCACTTTATTAGATTTTCCAACGTGTTCGTAAGGCTTAGTCTTTACCATGTAGTTTAACCTTTTCTCTTTCTTAATTATTTATTTTTCAAATACCCTCCTTGATAACTGTAATTTGTTTTTTTTTGTATTTTTATTTTTTTACCAAACGACTAATCATAACTTTTTTCAAGATGAACTTTAGATACAAAAAAAGTCGCGCGTAAACCGAAACTAGACTAAAATGAAAAAAAAAGTACTGCATCGTAGTCGTGTAAGACTGTTAAAAAAAGTACAAGACTCAGCATTTTTGGATGAACGAGAAATTTTGCGAGTATTAAACAGATACCAGCATGATCCACCAATAGAAAATTAGGTGTAATGTTTTTTAAAAAAAAAAAAAAATTCAATTCGCAGCCAAAAAATGAGACACCTGCGTAACCCGATTCTCAACTCTTTTAATAAATAAAAAAAAGCGCGTAGCGTGTGTGTCACGTCAATTAAGTCAATTATTAGATTTTAAATTAATAAGATTCGTTTTGTACTACTTAAGTTTGTTGATAGTTTAGAAAACGTGAAGAAAACAAATGTTTTTTTATTTAAAGTATAATACTATTTTTTTTTCATAATTGTTGACATTACCGCACTTTGTATATTTGATTTTTATGAGCGAAATAGGAATCCCTTGCACGTTAACAGTAGCCTATAATATATTTCAAAAAGGTGCCACTACAATAAAGAAACAAAAATTGTGTAAATGGAAGAAAAAAAGATTCGTGGGATCGATCTCCAAAGACCCCAGAATTGTACAGATTTGGTACAATTTTCAAACTCTTATGGCAACCACTTACGTATATCCATTATTTATCTTTATACATGGTATATGTGTGTAAGCTTCAAGCACTTACTAACGAGTACTGAAACCTCGTAGCAATGAGTTTCTTCTCTTGGAACGATTCAACAAACGCTTTAAGAGGAATACGATTGATAGTATTACGATATCAATGAAGATCGTACAAAACGAAATGTTAATGTGCGTTTTAAGATTAAATTTTCAACGTTAAAATGTTATTTTAAACAATAAATTATTAAAAATCCGTGATATTTTCACTTGTATGCTCTTCATTGATGCACGTATGAAATAGCTTCGTCGCATTTCCTCTCGGTACTAGCAACAAGTCCTTAGAACAAAAGTAGATTAGATTACTTATCGATTTGTGCTCTCGTCTCATCTTTTCAGTTGACATCGGATATATTCCACGAAGATTTAGTTGACACATTTTTCGCTTTGGTGTCACGTTCGTGACATCACTCAACAATAAAGTCATAAAGATAAAATAGCTTTGAAAAACGTCGATTATCAATTTTACTCACATCCTATCGACCTTTCGAAAATATTTTCTCTTGTTTTATAAAACAATCTCGTCGACGCTCGAAGCGATTTTACTATACTGAGAGATGAGCAGAGTACAAAAATTGGATTTCACATATTCAGACTTGGGCTCGACTAAGGCTTATTCTAATTTTTTTGCTAAAAGTATAATGTATTATTTATGATAAAAAAATTTTTTTGTTTTCAAGTTCTTCTTTTGATACAGTTTTTAACAAAAATTTTTCTAGCAAAAAAATGCATTAAAATCTGAACGAAAAAAAAAAGAAAAAAAAAAAAAAATACGGTTTACAAACAAAAAATAGTATTTGAAGAAGTATTAAAAGTTTGATTTCAAAATATTTTACAATAAACATTAACGTATTACATATATTGCACTTATCTGTCGAAAAAATATTGTGACGAATGAAAAAATTTTTTCAATTAAAATAATGCATTATTTGGGAAAAAACAATTTTTAAAGTACATTTAAAAATCCACGAAATAATCGTGCCCAAGTCTGCACGTAGTCGAATAAAAGAAAAGTATGTTAACGAATGAGTGTCGTGTGTTGTAGAATTAGAAATAGAAGTGTCCGTGTAATGTATAATGTAAACTAGTTTAGACTTGATCGGGTCCTTTTTAAAATTTTTTCGTCACCCACGAGTTGGGAAATATTCGAGTTTTTAAAATCTTAAACTATAGGTGTATTTTTTGTTTTTAAGTCATAGCTATGGTTTTTACATACACAAGTATATAATATGTATGCTAAGCCTCAACTCGAGATAAAGCAATTAAAATCGAAATCTGATTTAGAAAATGATAAAAAAATGCTCCAACGATTACAATCTCAACCAAAAGCAATGCTTGTCTGACTTTTAAATTTGGAGAAAAAAAACGTAGAATTACATTATTGAAAAGTAATAAGTATATCATCTCTTTTCTCTCTCTCTTTCTCTCTCTCGAGAACAAGACTGACTAACTTAATCGTCACTTTGCTTTTTTGTTTCATTCGATTATACCGTGGTGTGTAATTTTTATTTCTTCAACGACTTTATCGGACAAGATTTTATGTCACCAATCAAAAGAGTAGAAAAAATATATGTGAGAAATTATTCTTGCATTCGTATAGGCTTTAAGTGTCAAATGGATGAATCTTCGATTTTTCGCATATATATATNTGCAATAGTTACTAAGCAAAAATCGAGTATTTTGATCAATTTTTGCAATTTTTTTTTGATTTGAAGGGTCCTAAACAAGTGGCCAAATCAGGCTTCTCAAATAAAACGTCCCTAACTTGAAAACAAATTTTTTTTTTTTTCAGTTCTAAATTGTCAGATGAGGTGTTCATCAACTCAAAGTTTCAGATATATGTATATAGTAAAAAAAAAATTAAAAAATCAACGTCTAGGCTCCAGAAGCCGCAAAAAATGAAATTTTTTAATGCTCCGCGTTGCGGTCATGATATTTTGGCCTGTTTTTTCAACCTTACGGCTATGCAAAAAATTTTTCGACATGATGTCATAAATACATTTAGGAAAATTTGGTTTAAACCGTTTAAAAAAAGTTGTGACTCAAAATAATTCGATCCTTCGTTTTTAAACGGCTTTATGGAGTTTATGGAATATTGCATTTTTTGTGAAATAACCCATATATATCATCACAAGCGCGAGCCGAAATGTAAGTTGATTGTAGAACAAATCTCTCGAAGGGAATTGGTTATAGTTTTTTCAACTGTATTAGATCAGGCGTGGAACGTATTTTGCTACATCTATAGCTGATCGTCAAAGTAACACAGGATTGATTGAGATTTTTTGCGAACTTTCAATCCTGAAATGAAATCCATTAAGAAAGTGAAACAATTTTTAATACACAGCGTCAAATATGTTCCAGTCTCGCGAATAGGAAGTAACAATGTGCGACTGATCCTATTGCAATGCCAAAAATTTTATCTGTTCATTTTACACCCGTCGACTTACGTTGTTTGTTATTACTTTTAGCGTAGAAACAGTGCTACACAATATAGAATTATTAGAGTAGTCGGTTTGTAATCGTAGAAAAAGAGGTTTAATTAATATTATCTACGACTTTTTATTCTTTTCATTCAATATTTACTAAAAACCTCTTTTGATTTATTTAATCATCTTGTAAAGTGTATTATGTGTATGTATAATAAGACGAAATAAAAACCCAAAAAAGCACGATACTATTCATAATTTTGCAACTATATAAGCAATCACAGTAACTTAATCATCTACTATATCTATGGAAGTCAATCAATGTAAATGACAAATATATTTGAAGATTAGTCTTTTGCAGCGTCTTTTTAATAAAACAAATAATAAATCATTCATTACTGAAATTACGCTTGCACGCGTTCATTTTCGTAAATAATATTTATTTCATAAAAATACGACATTTATTTAGGATATCGTCATACTTGAAACATGCACCTGCTCAGCGAAATCTCGACCAAAAAATGCAAACACTAAAAATCCATTGTAATTGTTATAATTTATTTATTCTTGTGAGTAAGAAAATAGTAATTGTCATAGTTTAATGTGTTTACAATAAGTGCGAAACTCTTGTTGCGCTTGAGTTTATATTTATGAACAAAGTCGAGAAAATCAATGCCATATTGTATTTGCGTACATGCATATCATGACCGAAGGATTACAAAGTACCTAATACTATACGTGCGTTATGTATTTTTATCTGCGAGGAGTAGCCTCTCTGGGGACATGACAGTCTTTATTATTTTTTTTTTTCGTTGCTGCGTTTAATTATATTTTGTTAACTATGCGTATACATCATCAGCTCACAAAAGCACCATTTGCAGGAAATAATAAAACTATATAGTTTCCAAAAATATTTTGGTTCGTGCTGTGTTTATTGGTTACCTGTATCATTAAATTTCTTTACGCTCCTTTAAGACTTTCTGACAAAAGTTTTTCACCATACCCTTTTTTACAACTGCACCAAGATCATGTCCTGCCTTACGTAATTTTGAAAAGCTTTCCGAATTTCATGTGTTTCGATACCACTAATCCTATACTATGAGTTAACTTGTTACATAATCCAAATGTTAAATTATAGTAAATTACAATTTTATTTTTTCAAATATCATCCAATGTTTTTACTATCGCTGTTCGAAATGCAACTTACATTCTTTTTTTATTTTAATTATTTTTAACATTTATCCCTGAAGGATGTTATTTAGGATATTATTTCACCCCCAATGTGCATAAAATGTATACTTCCGCCTTTCTTATTTTCTTTTGTATCATCTTGGGTGACTCTCGTAAATGAATAAATAAACCTTGTCATTCTGGTCTAAGAAATAAATAACCAAGGTTTTCGGGAATAAATTACAAAACTTTTATTTCCTACTAAAATTTTTTCTATTATGATACATATTTTTATCTTAAAAAAAATGTAAATAAACTAATCAAAATGGACAACAAAGATTGCCAATATTTTCGAGGTCGACGCACTTGCCACGAGAAAAGCAGAGTTTCTTACGAAGCGTCAGCTTCACCATTTGACGCGAGTTGAGTTTATAGGTCTTCGCCACAAATTGGTAAAGATTTCTGTCAAAGTTCTTGGGTCTTTCCAGCGCCTGCAACGTTTACCACGAGAATTTATTGCAAATGTTGTGCATTACTTACCAAACGAGCGATGGATCAAGGGCTCACCTGAAATTTTTTCTCCAACTTCTTGGGTATTCTCAGTAAAACGGGAAATGGATACTTTTCGAAGAAGAGCGGGCCTACTTCTTGCATGTAGCCTTGACCCAGTGCGTAAGCTACGAAGGTCGTCCTTTCTGTTGATTTTCATAAATATTTGTATAAATATAAATAAACTGTAAAGTGATATTTTTTATTATAATTTTATAAAAAGAACACTCACGTTGATTTAAAAACAAATTTCAATGTCTGCATGAGTGTGGTTTGTCCATTTTTTTAATAATTGATAGTAACGAATTTTCAATTACAGTGAACATAAGCTATTAAATTTTATTATAATGCTAACCACAATTAGAGTTTAGTTTTTTGAGATGGAAAATTAATTTGCAATCAAAAATTTTGAGCTATTGAAAAAATCAATACAGGAATTTGAATTGATACAGAAAAAAAATTTCCAATATTTCTTGCAATTTTTAATTAAAATCAGACAAATACACTTAGCATTTTTTAGCTACAAATTATTATTAGTTTTCTTTTATCACAAGTTTAATTTCAGTCATCAAGGCATTGGCAAAATCACACAGTTTAGGCAAGTTAAATTACACATATATGCAATGCGTAATATAAAATTACTCGTCTTTTTTTTAATTCGTGTGATTTCCAAAAAAAAAAATACCACTCTCACCTCAATTAGATCTGTACACACTTGTTGTGTACAAAAATTAACTCGGATGAAGCGTGCCAGATAAAACCATTCACACATATGTGTAATTTTGTATAGCTGGACGTAATTGCTATGTAATTAAATAATAAGTGCAGATATTATTCAACAACGCTGATATACACTAACCATTTTCTGGAACAGCTTGAATAATTTTTTTACTCTTTGTTACATCTTCTTTCGTTGGACGACCACATTCCGTAAATAACGTTCGACTCGACGAGATCAACACCAAAACGAGGCTGAATTTCATTGTTTACGAATGTAAAAAAAACAACTTTTCGTCTGTCAGTGAAATTATACTGTCGCACAAAAATACTAAAAGCATTTGTTTGCAACTATGCTAATTATTTCTTAGAATGAGGCCATTTGATTAAAATGTGTATTGTACTATAAACGATTGGAGCATCTGTGAGTTCTAACAGCACGCAATGCTAGCGAATCGCAAGTATATCCGATACAAAACAAAAGCTAAAAGTCGGTGTGTCGCGCGAATCGTCGCCGATTTCAATTAATTCCTGCGATGCTGATAGGGTGCTCCGATCGATCGCTCAGGCTTATAAGCCCCAGAGTCGTAAATCTCCAGCGTGAGATGCGCGCTTGTCTCGCGTACTCATACCCTTGCTCTCTTTTTTTTGCCTAGCGTATGTTAGACTTTAATTTATCATTGTTGATTAAGATTTTTTCTAATTGGTAATGTGTTTCTGACTTTCGAGAAAACAGTTGCACAAAACAATAACACGTGTAGATTGAAGGATTAATTGAAAGAAAAATGTTTTGTTTTCCCATGCTTGTTTATACATAATTTGATTGTGTGTGTGAAAAAAAAGTACAAAGTAGTATGTGTCTTCTGCATAAATTGCATAAATTATTTCATCGGCTAGAATGTAATTTTTAAATATAAATATAGTATTGAGTAAATAGCTTTCGGTTTTTCGGCAAACAACCAAAAAAAAAAAAAAAAAAATGTTCAAGTGGTCATTTTATATACCGTCTTAAAAATGTTCAACCTTTTTTTTACATGGAATTTTCAATAGAATAGCGTTAAAAGCAAGACTTGATTTTTAAATTTCTGCATTTGTTGGTGTTAATCCTATTAAAGCTACAAAAACAAAAGCTTAGCAAATAAAAGGTTAAAAACTACAAGTTATCTCTGTAATAGTTCAAGCATTAAATGGACACTAAATCATTCTTAGTTATTGATCGATTAATTGGTTTTCACGCTCTATAAATTTTCCATCATATACTCCGAATCAAACGATTCATAAAATGCATTTTCATGCAATCAAAACATTTATCTATTTTAATCCATGAAATTATTAGATACCAGAGGATTTTTTGGTTGCTAAATATTAATGTAAACCTCAAATCACTTTAGTCACAAATTTTTTAAAAACTTGAAAAAACAATTTTCCAAAACCTATGATCAAAGATAGAATTTTCAAAAATTATTGGAATAAATGTGAAATATAAATGTATTAAAAAAAATTATACGTAAATAAAGTTATTGAAATAAAAACCTAGTATATTTAAATAAAAGCATTTTAAATAAGTTATATGGAATTAGAAAAAAACTTTAATCACTAAACTGCTTTAAAAACAATTGCAGTTGATCAAAGTGATTGATTTGTATTAAAAAAAAAAAAAAAAATTTTGCAAACTCAGCACAGTTTTTCCGTCGAAAGTTAACGTTCTGTTCATTTATAAATTGTTGTTTTCACATGATTTGATCTATTTTTCCGTTACTAATTATGGCTTTAGTAATTAAATATTTTAATATACATCTATGATTTGTTGATAAACATTTCATTAGAAAATTTACGAGTACTTATGACTACAACGGCTTTGTTAAGAACCAGTAGAGAGGAAATTTAGATAGGCACCCTATATTTTTACAGTTCCGTTACGATGAAAATTGTTAAGGTTAAGTAAAAAGTATAGAAGTTTTTGTCCTGGAATTCTCTATAAATTTTATAAAAAATTTATTTCAGTGTATAAAGACTTGCCTAAACTACTGTGGCTAATTAATACAGCCATCTGATTAAGCTTTTTAATTCTGATATTTTCCATAAACTTGTTAACATGCAGTTTCAATGCATTTTTTGGCGAAAATCAGAATGAAACACAAGTATTTATACTTGCTTAATGTTTCAATGTCCTTTTGTTTGTATATCCGTTCATCCTTATAATGTTTTTTTTACCTTTTTGAGTTTACTATTATCTTATTCTTTTCATCAGATTTTCTGAACACTTTAGTATACTATTTGAGCTGTCCTTATCGCCCATAAATTTTAGGTGTTTCTATTAAAAGGATTTACAGATCACAATCATATAATGTAAAGTAGTAATTTACAATGATAAAAAAACAATGTGAAAAAAAAGATCGTTAACTTCATCACTTATTTCTCGCTTATTTCACTAAATTCATAGTATTCACCCTACAAGGAGGGCCATAGCATCAGCCATAGCATAAAACAAAGAGATAAAGCCGAAATTGATCATTTAAGTTTTCTGCACAATCATGCATTTTTAAATTAGGTGGGAGCTTTATGACTTACATTGGGTACAGTTAAAGGGTTGCAAGTCTCCAGCTAGAACACCCGTGGGAATATGCGTAAGCTCATTTTGCGCTTGAAAGATCGGCCCTGTGTCTCCGGCGCCCGCGTGAGCAAAGAAAACGCGCTTGTACAGTTTGTAATTGAACTCGGCGGCGACGATGACGCCTCTCCGGGGAAATACGTGAAACGTATGAATTTTCGATTTTTCAACGAGGGAAAAAAAAAGTAAGCCGTTTCACTGGCGGAAGAGGAGGAGGAGGGAGGTGGTTTATTATTATTTTTTTTCTTTCTTTTTTTTTAAGGAAATCAGATAAAAAAAGAGTTTATCTGGAAAAAAGTAATACATACATTTGTTTTTTTTAAATAAAAAACAAAACCGTTGAATTTTTGTAATATATATAAGCATAAAACTACGTAAAGTCTTCAGTTCGTTTATTCAAAATTAAAAAACGCTAGTTTGTCAGTACAGAATTTTACAATTTAATTTAAGAAAATCCACTGTTTTCAGTATCAACTCAACAATTATATTATAAAGGCTAATTATTGTTTGTTTTGAAACATTTTAAAATAAAGCCGTTGTCAAAAGTACCAAATTGCCATATACAGTATGCTATGCATCTATTTCCTTGAGTGTACGTTTCAAAATTTTTATCCAATCTTGTAGTATAATTGTACGGTATGTTCCCGAACACAATGATGAAATTACAAGTAATAACACACGATAAATCCAATAAGCGAAGAGCTTTAATATTTAAACAAATACGAAATGACACGTTTGAGCCTCAACTTTCGCATGAGCGCGTCCGAGTACGTGTGTGTACAGGCGCTGTCAAGTATTCATAAGCGGCGGCAGCAACATTGAGATGGCTTTTTTTCCCCCTCAATTCTTCCCTCGATGGTTATAATTATTCTGGAAATGTCGTCGTTGCGAGCTTGTGGAGCTACAATATTTTTTCTCCGCTTTCGTTTACCCTTTGATTGCCCGCGTCACTTACAATATACCCACATTTTTCTCGGCAATTACGCTCAAGCGAAAAAAAAAAAAAAAAATTGTACGTCCATACATGCAAACGCAGAAAAAAAAATGTTTTTTCCTTGAACACGAAAAATATGCAAGGGTTTAAGTTCGACTGGAGAAGAGCGAGCGAGGTGAGCTAGAGGCCGCAGAAAAGACACCAATTATTGCTCTGCAATTGAACCTACAGTGTACATAGACAAATTAATTCAAGTGACGTTTCGTCAACCGACAACCTTGGACAAAAAAAAATTTATTTTAATTTTCATACAAACGAGGGAAAAACGATAATGATGTATAATAATATGTTTTTTTCCATCGATGCATGATTATTTCAATGTAAATCCAGTGAGTAAAAAGGTAAGTTCAACATTTGAATGTGCACAGTTTAATATATAGAGTTTGATTTCGATAATGTTATCTCCAGGGTTTCTTGAAAAAATCAAAATCTTATAAATTGATTGATTAAAAATTTGTTGAAGTTATACGTCTATAGGCGCGTTATGCGCTAGATCAATTCAACGATTTTAGAATTCTGACCTTGAGAAAATAAGTGGATTTTTTTCATTTGCCTCAGCCTGACCCGTCTCGCCACACCACCCCTCGCCAGTCCCATCCAATCTAGGTACACTGAAACATGGTTAATTTGATTGATTAAAAATTGTATCAATTAATATTCATTATTCATTTAATAAAGTGATTTTTTTTTTCTGAGGAATAATTTTTTTCAAAACTTAGAAAATAGTATATCTTAGTAGCAGCTGTTTTTTATGTATTACTAAGTATTTAATAATTTTTCAATAATTCATCAATAATTTTTTAGTTTCACAGTAAATAAATAATTATTCATACAACTTTTTCATTTCTTTTCAAAATTTTCAATCTTTTTTCCTTTATTGATTCATTCCCATACAAGGCTCTGTGAATAAATTTGTTGATTTTTATTGCGTTTTCTTCTTTCACAATTTTTCCTTTGTGATTGAGAAGATTTTTTCACTTACAGACGTTCATCACATAATTAGTGAGGCAAAAGTTGAGAGCCGAGAGAAGCACAAATATTATGCAGCAACGCTGGCAATTGTTTTTCTCATGTGGGTGTAGGTACTTACATACACGATTTTACGCATACTTGCTTGTTTTATTAAAAAAAAAATAAATAAATAAAATAACTTGTGGATCTACTTGAAAATTTAATAGGTTAATCAAAGAGTAATCTATCATACAACAAAAACTGGGAGATTTCTGTAATTTTTCCATAAGGTTACATGTTAAATTGAGATTTTTTTAAAATTAAACATGTAAAAAAAGGGTACATACAAAAAATAGACGATTGACATTTGAATAACATCCGTTCAAAAACCCTATATGTAATGAATGTCCTGAAGGGATATTTACAGGCATGTAATACTATTTTATCGAAGAAAGCTGTACTACAGGATGGTTTTTCTTAGCATTTTAGACACAAATATATTGAAGGTGTTAAATATGGACTAGGAACGAGTGCGTGAGTGTATGTGACAGATGTGAGGGTAACGTTAGAGATGTATATCTCCCGTCTTGACATATCTTTATTTTAAACTCTTTATACCTACGTAAAATATTGTTTATAATTGTTTGTTTATTAAATTTTAAAATACTTATTGGAACAACACTCAATTAATGTACATATACTTATTCCAACGATAATTGCACCACCTTCGTATACACAATATCGTTAAAATCAGAAGGTATATTTATATTCATTTATTGTCTACCATAGAATGCATCCACTGACCACGACTTTTTTACAACTAAATTTGTGTGTTGATGAAATTTCATTTCATAATTTTTTTCACTTTCAATGCCTATAGCGTAACAATTTAGCGCTTTTAAACTATTTCCTTATCAAAAGCTGAGAAAAGAAGCTATCAGTTAAAAAAAAGTCTGATTGCTAAGTGGTTCTGAACAATAGTTTTAGAGATTTTGATTTCAACAGAAAATTGGACAGTATAAAAATGTATTTATTTATACTAGTAATCTTTAATTAAGCTACAATTTTATTGATAGTAAAAAAAATCAGTTTGTTCACGTGTAAGTCACAAAAGCCTTTGCTCGAGACTACGTTAATAAGAGCAGTTGATTGTGTAATACATAACAGTAAATAATTTTTCAAATAATACTAGATAATTAATGACAATCAACGCTGTTGCGTAATATCAAATTATTCAATTTTTCACAGAATGAAAAAATATCTATTTTTTTATTTTGTGTGGGTAAAAATCGTGTACGTAATTTCTGTGCTCCAATCGTTGTACTTACTATGTATGGTCACATTGGGATTGTGAAAATTACTTTTTATCAGATATAAACAACTAAAGAATGGTATACGAATATAGGTATACATGCACTGAATATTATGTCATACTGCTGTTTTCTTAGTAGTTTCGTGCACATAATTATTTTGCGTAAAAATTTTTTTCATTTTCACACCAAAAATGTGATTTCAATTTCCTGGTAAAACATATATATTGTCTTCGAAATGAACTAACGCCAAAAGATGAAACAAAGAATTTCAGATTAGAAAACGTATAATTTTGAATGAAAATTAAACCCCAACACTATATTCATACAAAATTACAGTGGTTTTCCTGATTTACAGCGACTTAAGTGTGAGCAAATAAGTATATAAGTCGTTCGTTTGAAACACAGAGAGAATATATTGGCTCGACCGGCCAGATCAAGTGGTTGATTTCATAATATTTTTCAATAAGTTACGAATTTGAATCATAGAACTTAGTGCATAGGATCATCTGATTTTGACGGAAAAATGAAGATCTACTACGTAATTTTGTTATCAGCTATTTCTATTAACATTTTCTGGACGCATGGTGAGGGCATAGAACGCACAGATGAATTTGGATTCGTGCAGCTAAATAACATGCTCAACTCTTGCAGAGAAAGCTTGCTTGTAATACTTTGTTAAGTTTATATTTCTATCCCATGATAATATTATCATTGACTAATCATTCTAAATTATTTACAGATACCATTTTCGGATGATGAGCAGGTAAGAATTACCATAAAGATTATATTTTAATTGTAGGTATATCGCGTTTATCGTTTTTTTTGTGGCTCCAGTAATATCATTACCTCATGGCTGTAGCTATAGTTCACGAACTCATTCAAAATGTTTTCTAATGATACACATTTCAATAAATACCTAGTTATTTTTCAATTTACAAACAGTATTAACTGATCCATCATTTAATTTTTTGCACTTCGAATAGTATGTCTATTTTAATCCTTCTGAAACTATACCGTGTAACGTACTTTACTTTTATATAGATTGTAGCATTATAACCAGTATTTATATTTTACATTCTGCTTTTATATATAAACCAAGAATAGTTCAATGGAATTGCAATTTTTTAAATACTTTACTAAAAACAAAGAATAATTGTGTTGAAATACTTTATAAATAAATTGTTTAATTACAATGCGCTAATGTCATTTAAATTAGAACTAAGTTACCTCAGCTTGAACTAATCAGATTACGAATAAAATGCTTCATTCGAAATTACTCTCCTTTTCAAGACAGGATTTTTTAATTAATTTTATCCTTAAGTATTGATTTGAGATTAATAAGGCTATAATACTTCTATCGTACCAAACGTTTACCGCGTATCGAAAGTAGTTTGGGTCTGATTGTATCAATCACGTAAAAATACATTTTCTTTCATTCTTGGTTTGCTCCTACTAATCGAGGGAAATAATTATTTTTATTTTTTCACCAAGGAAAATCAATTACGATTGCGAAACCATTGCATTTATGAAAAAAATAAAATGAAAAACATTCACGGAAAATCAATGAAAATTAAAAGATGTAATGCCGAACATTGTTTTGTAACGTGTAAGTAGTATACTACATGATTGGTCATTTTTGGATTTAAATTTTTCGCACGATAAATTTTCTGAAATTCACGTTAGGTTAAGAAGGAATATGCCATTCTTGTTTTCTTGACATTTGTTTCCATTGAGAATTTTTATCCGATTTTAAATTGTTATTTTCAAAATTGAAGTAACTACAGTTTGAAGTTGAATATGATGGCTGAAATTTTTGTTAATGCACCCACTCGCAACATATTTAATTATCACTAAAGATAATCTGCCAGCACTTTGATTTTCAAATTAAAATTACTTAAATTTGAATTGGAAAATTTTTCCCTGGTGAAGTTGCATATTTGAGTTGGCTAAAATATAAGAAAATGCTAAAGATGAATTTTTACTTATTACTTATAAAACAAGGCTTATTCAGATTGATTTATAAAAATATTAGCATACGCTCTTCAATATAAAAGACTAATATTTTGTATAATTAATTTTAGACTGTAGATGAAAGACAACTCATGGTAAGCATACATTTTATAACTTAATAAAACATTGCATGAACTGGAACGAAATATATACATAGTGTTGTTGTAGTATAAATGTATTGTTGTTATTAACTAATAATTCACTCTTCATTTAAATCCATAGGACATAATATCTAATACACAAAATAGATGGTGTAAGTACCTTTCCTTTTAGCTTCACCTCTCACTACATTGAATTGTCGACATGTTGTATATCGCGATAGGGCCCCTCATCAAATCGTCGGCTCGAGCTGCGTAGCGTAGGGATTTCGATCTAAGATTTATTGATCCATTGAGGAATCGATCCAAACACCCCTTGAATCGGAATTATTCACTTCACGAGTTTCAATAAAATGCTAATATACTTTTTTTATATGCAAATATACAGTTTAAATATAAAAAAACTAAAATTGGGATTGATGGTTAACAATTTACTTATTTACACTTTAATTTAAATATAAGTAATCAAACAAAAAATTTAACCTGAAAAAGGACCTGAAATTTAAGTGGGAAATATCGTATTTTAAATAATGAGATTTCATCAAAACATGTTATTGAGCCATACTAGTCAATGGTTTTATTACAAAAATTCCAAAGATTATTTGATAGCTATAGAATTTTTATAAAATATTTTTTCATACTTAACAAAATATTTTTCTCGACATTTTTGAAAAGTTTATTTTTTAGACCAACCCGTTAGACATAGATCTATCACCGATTTTGTCGAATATAAATTCAAACGATTCAATTGAAAATCGATTATTGGGCCCTTCATTGGGTTCGACTTGAATATGAATTTTATAACGAATGACCTCCATAGCACACAGCTCGCTGTCATTTCAGATGGAGCTCTATTCTGGTAAACGATTTATCGCAAGATTAAAAAAAATCGATAATATCTCGTAAGTAGGCAAAAATCAGCTGAGAACTTTAGCCTAAGGTCTGATCGCAACAACCGTTGGATAAATTTTTTTGTGATCTTGTGATACATTGTTTACCTGAATATAGCCCGCATTAGCCTCGCTTTCTTGTTTGCCCCACTCTTCCGCTCACTATTTACACATAATTGTATAGATATTTGTTGATATTGTCTTAATTATATCTTACCATCAAGTCACAAGTAAATGTTGGTGTCCACTAGCACGGGATTAATACAAGTGCGCTTCTTTCTTATTTTAATACTTTCGAATTATCGAATCCTAAAAAATAACTTTATGATTAGCACCTAGGCCGAAAAAGTAAAGAAAGTCTCAGATCGTCCGTGTATTATCGTTGATTATATTTCTGACGGTCAAAATGTTGTACATTTAGCACATTTTGAAAAAGATGTCTTTAAAAAATTAAATTATCAAAATTCTTACGTTTTCCCAAGGGAGGCTATTCTGCCGCTGGGGGCGCTCGCCATCACATGAGGTGCTAGCGTGTATTTCGTATATCTATATATTACGATGCGCACGCACTCACATAAAATATAGATATACTAAGACGTATTGAGTATCTCATGTGATGGCGAGCGCCCCTAGCGGCAGAATAGCTCTCATTATTGTCTTATCGGTTCTGGACTAGTTGCAACAACTATATTGCTTCTTTTACGTGCATATGTATTCACACGCTTACGCTCATGCTCGCATGTATCAGAGATTAGTATATGTACCACTGCACAATCATACAAAAACATATACTAGTTACGTACATATAGAATTGTTCTGTGATAGGTATATGACACTCAATTTTTAATTCTTAGTAATTTTCTCACAAACTCAATGGTGTTTATTCAGTGTTGCCAATAATAATTAATATTTTTTATTAAGAAATACGGGCATTGATGGCTTATAATAAATAAGAGGTATTATAATAAAAAGGATAATCCCATCTAAATGAACTTCGATGAATCAGTAATTTAATTTTTGTCAGGTAGTAAAAATATTTTCTAGCTTTTAAATATAATTAATTAAATTTTACGTCAATTTGCAAAATCTTTAAGAATTGAGATAACCTATTTTCTCAGAACAGAGATAAATAACAAAAAAAAATTGATACAAGAGTTCTAGATTTTGGACCAGATATCCAGCAAAGATCTTCTTTGTAACCTCGAAATATTATTTGACAGTCAAGTGACAGTGAACTTTGTTCTTTAAATGGGAACCTTTTTTTATATCCACTTCATATCGACTATTTCGGTCCCAAACCTACAACTTTTGTAAACACTATTTGGCAATTTTTGGTTTTGTGTCAGGTAAAACGTCTGTTTTAATAACTTTTAAATACCTTGTATGACTGCATGCATTCACATTTCGATCAAAATATCATGTGATTCAGCCAATGTAATTTTTTTTTTTTTTTGTCTCAATCATATTCTTTTTGAGTAGAGTCAGAATAATTTTGCATTATAGTTAAATGTTGGTATGATTTCTGGTAAAGTATAAGTTAACTACAAGTCGCGCTTTTATTTATTCCCGCACCGAGAAACCCACTTAACATATGCATTTCATCTGTACAGTTATTATAAAAATTTCATAATTCTTTACAGAATTGGATGGATAACTTATGGAGACAGGTAAGAATTACTTTTAATAATTACTTTACAAAGCGTCGCATTAACTTTGATGGGTATGAAGTATTGAGTGCATTTTTAATGAAACTATAATTTTCCTACCTCGGGCGTTTTCGCCACATAAGCGCCATCGCACCGTGGCTACTGGGCACTTATCCGACGAAAACTACCATTTTTTTTCATTCTTGACTAAGTATACCTATTCTTGGATTTCACGACGATTGTCTTGGAATCCGTGACGATCTTATTTTTTCTCACAGTTCAAAACGCTACCCATTATAAGAACCCACTGTAGGAAAAATAGTTCTAGCGGGGCCCAAAAAATTACAACTTTTTTTTGATCAGAAAAAGTAAAAAAAAAAAAATAATAATTTTCACGCTTTGACTAAAAAACCATATTATCAAGAGTTAAAATTCGTATTTTTGCATAGTAATATACTATTTGAGTAAAGTCGAAACGATTGTACATTATATTCAAGTATTAATATGGTTTATGGTTTGTACAGTATCCCTACAATTAATTATTGACAAATGTTTATTTATTCTTTACAGATGGTACTAACTTACAATGACACGGTAAGCATTTTTATTAATTATTTTACAAAACAACACATAAGTCCCACGGCATATCGGCGTCCATCAGGTACCCAAATGCCAAATAAATAGCAAATAGAATTGAAGGAAATTTTGAAATTTTTTCTTGGGGGAGGGGTGCTTGTGTACTTATGAGGCACCGTGTTAAATGTAGTTGTACTGTTGTACTAAGCGTTTGCTCGGTTTACCCCAGAAAATTGAGTTGGGATTGACTCGCTAACACTAAGACGACAGGGCAAAAAAACACGAAAAAGTTATAGTGCATACTTTAGGACGAACAATTTTCAATGGTCAATGGTCTGAGTCACTTTTTTAACGAAAGCTGTTTGCAGATTCGTTATTAACATTCCTGATAGAAAACCAACATTACCACTTCTTTTTTGTACATTGAAAACAGATGTACAACAAATGTTAATGATTTTTCAATATTATTCAGCAAGATTTACACAGAAAAAATACTCATTGTTGTACCTACGCATGTGTGGCCACAATCATGAAAAGAAATGTAAAAAAATTTTTACTCTTCACTGTTCCAAAGTAATATACAATAAGCTTACGCTAACGTTAATGTCGCGGTATGGTTTACCAAAGTCAGTAACATACATTCAGACGAGGATACTCCTTTTCTCTTACCTTGTCGTCCCTGTCTCCTCCATTATTTCTTAATATAGTTTCGCTAATATGACCACTGTCATAACTGTCCTTTGGCACAACCGTACCAAGTCTCCCGTGTTGATCGGTCCCTGTTTCAAATGTGCGTTCAAGTTCCACCGTACATAGGTACATCTTCACTACCCTTAAAATCTACTTGCCAAACTGATCTTGTTTCTTGTATGTCTTTTTTTCATAGTATGAAGAAGACGACAGTCTGGTATCGGTAAGAACTTCAATATTTATTCAATGCAGAACTAAATGAAAAATCATTTTTACTCAGCATTTTTAAAACTTAATTTTTTACTTGATTTCCAACAGACGTGCATAGATGACATAGAAAGAGTTCGTGCACTAATGGAAGGTCGAATAATGTAAGAATCAGCACATTGTTTTTATATTAACTGTAACTTGTGAGGGAAACATTAAGTAATGTAACACTTGTACAATTTTTATTTTATAGACCGTGAGAGGTCTAAATGAACGGAAGAGAAATTCGAAGACAACAACGTTTTGGTGTATGCAACCCTCTCACAAATCAAGATGTTGATATTATTATTATATTAATTTGGCACGCATGTAATAAAGGTACCTAATCACTTATCTGCATAAAATTACTGTATGCATAATTATTTCGATTCACAAGTGATACCTAAAATTGTACACATAGCACATCAATTATTTTCCTCACACTTATTGCGAAAAAACTTGTACGCAACTCGTGCGGGACGATTTCCCGCACTCGTGGCCGGTGACGGTAACTCGTTGCCGTTCGATCACACTCGTGCTACGCACTCGTGTGCTCAACTGGCACTCATTCCCGTCAACTTCAGCCATTCGTGCGAGTCAATCACGACTTGTGCGGGAAATCGTCTTTTCCACACTTGTTACGTAAATAACTATTTCCGCCCTCGGGTGGTTTTGGGAGGCTGGCACTTCCTCGGGCGAAAAAGCAGTTTTCCGATACTCGTTCGAAAAGTCTCCTTTACGAACTTCGTTACGGACCTCGCCTTCGGCTCGGGCCGCAAACCTCTCGGTTCGCAAACAAAGACTTTTCAAACTTGTAGGAAAACTACTATTCCATTTAATTTTAAGAAAGATTTTTCAAACAAAATTATTAAATTTTAATAAAATTAGGTTTATTTATATAGTTCTAAAAAAATAAAAAGGTTTTTTTTTGAAGAACGATAACTTTAATTGTAGCACTGAACAGCCAATAAATTAATAATAGAGTCGGTTTGGTTCTTACAAAGACAGAGCCCAGCATAATGTTGCCCTCTGGTGGTAATTTTTTTTTATAATGATACCCTCATTCAATAAAGCTTATTTTTTTGTTTGGAAAATGATTGCAAAATTTTTTTTTAAAAGAACGATCATTTGATATTTTGGAGCGAGGAAGGGCTTCATCGGGACCCCCGCCGAGGGTTTGCCCCCTGGTCGCCCACCAGGGGCTGCCGATCCCTAGACCTCGCACAACCTATCTTGCGAATTATTTATTTTTTACTTTAAGTTCAACTATCTTTCAATAATAGAAAAACTCATTATATTAATCTTTATTGTGTCCAGCTCGTGTAAATAAATAATGCAAAGTGCATAAGCTTCAAAGTTATTTTTTAATTACTTATTTCAAAATTTATATGAATTTTTCTCACACACATTACGAAAAATCTTGTACGTAACTTGTGTGGACTATTTCCTGCACTTGTGCGCGTCAACTGCAATTCGTGCGGGAAATCTTTTTTTCTGCACTTGTAACGTAAATAATTAATAAAGACTGCTTGGACCAGCCATTCCCCTGGTACCTCTTGGGGCGTTAATGCCCGTCCACTAGTAAGTAGGTACATCTTTCTCATGCACCATACTGCAATAAACAAAATACTTGGATTACGGTGACGCAACGTTACCACGAGCACGCGTATGCTCTGTCTTACACATGTAAGTACGACAACGCGTTTCTGATTATTTTATCGTGCTCCAACTGCGTCCATGAATTGTTCACAAGTTCGCAGAATAAACGCTGCGGTGTACCAAAATAAGCGAGTCGCGCTACACGATAGTTTATTGCTTTTCTGATCGTTCCTCTCATTTATTTTTCGGTACGCCGAGAGTGTTTTTTTTTCTTTTTTTCTTCATGTTTACTCATGAGACAAAGTTTTTTCGCACATGTTTCCCCCCCCCCCCAAAGATTATTTTTTTAGTTCTCGCTATTAGGTGCACTTTTCGAACTTTTTTTTTTGTGGCGAAGTTTGTTGTTGGTCTTGTTCGGTGGTACGCGGATTTTCTGAAAAAAAGTAGTGCTCAATAAATAATGTTTACTTGTACAGTTTCGCATGAAAAAAATCTACCTACGGTTCAATTATGTTGTACAGAAATTTTTTTGGGACGCGGTCTACTTAAGGCACAATATCAATTAGCACACCGTATGGGTACACGCGCACGTGTGAAAAGCTTACAGCACTTTGGTGGCACTTAGAGCTAACCCGCCCTTCTTGTTAGCCAACCCTTAAAAGTGCATCACTGTATACAGTGTCTTCCTCGGCGGGCCACGTTGGTTGTGCCATCGCTCTCTTTTGTGTGATGGATTTTACAACGAATAGCGTGCATGAACATTTATTATCATTTTTAATTTTTTTTTTATTTGGGGCAGGCAAGGAATACGAAATGTCGATTTAAGTTCCTATCGATCGATGTTTTTTACGAAGAAAATGTTGAAGTCTTCGTTCATCGTTGACATAATTTTTAAACATGATAAAAGAAAAAATTCATTTTTACGGTTTGGTAAAAGAAACGGCTAACTCAAATACGCATTGAAGAGACAATTAACTCAAAGTATCTCAAATGAAGTAGAAAAAGTTTTTTTTCTTTATTTTGTAGTGTAAGTCCTGCTATTTTATTTACAATTGAAACGAAATTGAGACATGCAATGAAAATTAACTTTAAAAGTAACCCCATTTAAAACAGGTATAAAAAATTTGAGAGAAAACAAAATTTTCGTGTTCATAGTTGATTTACGTATTATTTAGTTATAACTACGAACTTTCAACCATTTAAATGTTACTCCTTTCCTGAAGTGCATCAAGAATATCGTCTCATAAAACGAGTAGTTTTATTAATGATGCTTCTTCTCACAAAATTTAAATAAATTTATTTTAAAAAATTACTATGAATAATATATTTTAGTCCACTCACAGTATATAGTAACAAATTTATAAGAACTAAATTACGAAGTTAGAAATACTAAAACTTGAAGAATAGTATTGTTGACAATGTATGCGCATACATGTACTGATGAATGAATGGTAACTCCTTTCGTCGATTGTTGGCCCATTTTTTTACAAATGCTTTTCGGGATAAATTGATACTGTACGTCCCAGTTGATCAGAATTAATTTTTTAGAGTTGAGAAACTCTTCTTTTGAAAAAAAGTGTAGAAAACATTGCAAAAAACACCGTTGGTCATTAAAAATAATCAAATCTCTCTAATTGAAGCCAAGCTCGCATACAATATGCGTTTGACACCCCTCCACCCCTTTTTCCCGTCTGCAGCTTCATGATGTACCTACTCTCTGCTACAACGTGCCCCCTCGCGTAAAGCGTCGCATATGTTGGACGCATATCATATCCCGCATCATATTACATGTACTTGGGGTATAAACGTAACAAAGCAACAAGCGTGTTTATTTCCCTAGTCTACCTTTTTTCTTTTTTTTTTCTTTTTTTTTTTCCCCTTCAAAGGGATTGGGGATACAGGAGAGGATCAACAGCAGGTTACTCCTGTACGCACTCGCATGATTTTATACGATACGAGTGCATACATGTATGCGTGAGTCCAAACGTATAGAGTAAAGAGCCGATTCCCCGCGGAGACTTACGCGCTTATACGCCGCGTCCTCTCGCCGGTTTGCTCCCTTAGTCGTAATCCGTCACGATTCACTGCTCTTTTCCCGAGCTTTTATGGTACGTGTACTTTGGCCTAGTCTGCCTATAATCTTTTTTTCCTCCAGACGTGCGCTTCAGATCTTCTGGTGATACGTCGCGATCGAAGGTGTACAGATTTACATCTCGAACTTGTATAGGTTTCCATACCCACGATACGTACTTATGACGTTAAAGTGATTACGTCAGACAATAGATAGTTTCTTTTCGGTTAAAAGTGTAAGCTGACTTGTGAGAAATAAGAGAAGTGGGAAGTATCATGTAAACAGGGATAAAACCCGAAACATGTGCAACTGAGATTTTTTGATGACGTAAACAAGGTTACAGAAAGTCACAGTGATGGATCAAATTGTTTTGTTGGTACTTTTCAGGTCATGTTGTAACAGTTGTAGAAAAAACTTTAAGAAATGATGATAAAAATAAAATATAAAAACAAGAAAGGTTTAACAAGTTTCTCTGTTTCTTTTTGTAAAAATCGACAAACGAGCTCACGTCTTGGACGGTATCATTAAGATGCCTGTATCGATAGCTAAATTTTCAATCGATTTCTGGACTTTGGTCATTCTATAAGTGACAACCACTCCCTGCCTTGGTCCTATAAAGTTGTGAGATATCACTTTCGCCTCACACTCTAAAATAATACGTCCGCTGCTTATAGCACTCAAAAATTAATACATATCATTGCATTTGGTAATCGAAAACAAGAAATACTTAAAAAATAATACGAAGTAAAAAAAAAACCATAATTAGTAAAGATTCCTTTGCTGACGTTGACTATACACTGCAACCCTCACATTATACTTCCTCGTACTAAACGTATAACCAGATCTCGCATCACATTCGAAAGTTATTCATAGTATGAAATAATTCCTTGTCAAAAACCAACTGTGGCCACAGTAATGGTCGTAACAAAAAAATAGTACCCAACACGCGCAATAGAAGCAGATTCATCCTGTACAGTAACTCATTCATCCACCCACACGGGGAGAGGGTGTAATAGTGCACGTACGCGACCCTGGGTAGGCGAGTATATAAATCCTAATACTCCGTTTTCAAGTGTGATTTTATGCGCGTTTTGTACGTCCTTTGAAGGGAAAAAAAAAAAAAAAAAAAAAAACTGAAGAGAGAAAGAGAGAATGAAATAAAGTCGCCTGGGTGTGCTTCCCATCATTCTCCTTCTCGACGAGTCGCCTCCACATGAGTCCGCACACGCGCGCTCATACACGCTCGGGGCCGTAAATATTATGAGGGTCGATATAACCGCCTGGGATTTCGCGATCCCAGGAGGAGCGCTCACGCTCCGCGTTTCTTTTTTCCATACCTCTATCTCTCTCTATAGTTCGCCGGTGAACTCGAAACCTCGCTTTTCACCCCTCACCCGCCTTTCTCGGCCGCGGGTGGATATGTACATGCCTTTCATCCAGAGAACTATACACTCTATTTCTCCCTTTCTCTACATCTCTTTTCCTACTCCCCCCCTCCCCCACTATCGATGGTGTCTGACGCAGTGTAGCTTCACATTTTACGCGCTAATGGTTGCAATTAGCAAAGATATCGATTATCACTGCATTTAATTTGAACTGGTTACTCTTGTGTGAAATTCTCGCTCATTGCTTTATGTTTCAGGAAAATTTAGGCTTATCATTTTACTACATTGAAAGATAAATCTGTATATTTTA